GCGGAAGTAAATGTTCAGATTTTGATTAAAGATTAGGAAGACAAAACATTTTTTTCAGCGGTTTAACTTGCACGGATTAATTGTTTACATCAAGACTAGCAATGTGCGCTAGTAAAGTAAATAAAGTCAATTTTGATTTCATGCGGACTTTAATATTAGCTTCTTGTTTATTGAACTGTTGTAAAGACTGAATAATGCAGTGAAAAAACGCACTGTAAATGCACACGCACACTAGTCTAATCTTCATCACATAACATTAATGTATTCGTGCACTCTGTAAGTTGGGCGTGTTTTGTTTGGTTTTTGCGATATACAGGATAATGTCAAATCCCACATCGTTAAAAACACAATTACAATATCATCACAGACGATATATATATCGCACACCCCTACCGAGAGATCAGTATGGGCTAAACTAGGTTATGAACGCCCACATGACACCAGTAAAGGCGTGAATTCACTGATATTCTGCAAAATACAATGTAGTACGTGAAACATGACTTAATAAACAAAACTCAGTATACTCACCATAACTTTAATGATAGAAAATCCATCTGTAAATTATGTTCTGTCACCCTTCAGAATCGGCTCCGCTCTCCCGCTCTCCCGCTCTCCCGCGCACAGAATTTGAATTCACTACACCAACGGTTTCTCTCATGCGCATGCATACACGTGTTTTTTTTTTAGCTTTAAAGCTTGTTCAGCTAACACAGATTTTTCACTTCTGCTTTATAGATTGGCTGAGCACAATTTAATATGTAATTTTAACTTAAGACCTTCAGCTAAAATTACTACAATGCATTTTTTTTGTTTGGGGATAATTATTGGGAAGCAATTTGTTGAGTCTATTTATTTGTCAGTTCCCACAATTTTTCAAAATGTACATTTTTTACAGTGAATGATTTGTTTAAAGTGCCTCTGTTATGCTTTTTTTCAAATATTACTTTTCAAGCAGTGTGTAGTAAACCAGTTTGATAATGTAAAAGCAACATTTTAAAGATCAAAGTGCACAACAAGTACATCTATTGACCTTCCAAAAGTAAAAATCAATTCTGAACTGCCAAAATGAATCATCAGCACATAACATAAGTATGTAACAAATTAGCAAAATGCTAGTGAACAATGTCTACTTTGACCCTCAAACACAGAGGCCCCTGGGATACAGCATTATGGTAGGTCCCCCCTACCCCAGATATATATATATATATACAGTCATGTGAAAAAAGAGGACACCCTATTTAATTCCATGGTTTTCCATATCAGGACATAATAAAAAAATCTGGTCCTTGGATAAAACTTTGGATGAACAACAAAAGATGACATGTCACACAGGGTCATTATTTATCTAGCAAAAATTAAGCCAAGATAGAAAAGCCATGAGTGGCAAACTAAGAACACCCTATGATTCAATTTCTTGTAGATCCACTTTTAGCAGCAATAACTTGAAGTAATCATGTGCAAATTTACGAGTGTGCAAGTTAGTTTATAGAATGCTGTTGTCACTCCTGCAAACTCCCATGTATACATATAATTTTATAAAAAATAAAAATATATACATTTACTTGCAGTCAGTAGGCCCCTGCCCAGTGCAGGCCCCTGGGCTTTAGCCTGTGTCTTAATGCGCCCCTGATCGTGAAAGCAAATTCTTCCTAAGCATATAAAAGTACATTCCTAATTCCCATGTGATACCACAGCAGAATAACCTTTAGTTGTGTTCCCATAATTTTATCAATGACCACTTCTAAAATCTCATCTCAATTGCAAAGTACACTCTTTATTTGAACCAGCTTGCTCCACTCACAACTTTAAGTATTATTCATTACTTATGTATTTATGTTCTACTGAGTGTTCAAAATATGTACATGAATAAAAATTAAAAAAAATACAATGAGAAATTGTCAGGGAAAATACAGATTCAGTTTGCAGGTAACAGAAAAAGTTTATTACGCTCTCACTGAGCAATAGGAAAAAAAAATAAACAGAAACACAAAAATAGAGGAAGTCCCAAATCAAAGTCCACAGGACCAGGAAAGAGCCTCTCAGCAGGGACTGATCCTAGCGTCATCCGTGACGCAGCGTCAAAGTAGCACTGACCAGAGCGTCGTTCGTGACGCAGCGTCGAGGACTCACTGAGCTCCCCGATGGGAGCGTTTAGCGTGTAGGGAGGGGCTAGGGCGATGTCTCAGAACCTCGACAGAGCTAGAGATAGCCAGGGCAGGTAGCAGGACAGATCTCGACTGGCAGGATGAGAAGTTCAAAAACAAAAACAAAACAGCACTCAGGGCTAAAAAGACACAACACGGCAAAACACAGCAAACATGACAGGAAGGTCACGAGCGAAGTGTTGAACAACATACAACAACGGTCTGACAAAAGACTGACCACGCGAGGATCTAAAATAGGGGAGGGCTAATGAGGAATGAATAGCAACAGGTGTGACAGAACACAAGAGAATTAAGGATAACGAGTGGGAGGGGAAAACGCCACACAGACAGCGGAGCACATGGTGAGCTGTCAAAACAAAACCCATGTGCTCAGACACCAAGCACACAGACACAGAAAAAGACAAAACACAGCAGATCAGACCGAAGTCATGACAGAAATGTCCTGCTCAATTCGTCCTTGCGATGGAGGTTCTAGATGAATAACTAGTTTTTCCAATGTTTCATCATCAGACTCATGCTCAAATTCATATTGTAAAATCTAATCATTACTGTCTTTGTGTGTACAATTACTATGAACTGAGGAAGCTTTCCGGAGTGGAAATTCATATATGTGTGGTGGAATGGAAGTTGCTACCATGACCCCCTCTGCTGCACATGAAGAGCTCTCTACAGGGTTAGCTGCATTTGTCACTGGCTGGTTAATAATTATCTTGATTGCATCATGATAAAAGCAGAGCATGCCAGTAGCGTAGAACCATTCGGCTATTTTCCCTCACCTCACATTTTCTTTTGTGTTGCCCTTGCCTGGTGGAGTCGTGTGGTTTGGGTCATTAATTCACTGCTCCGTTTAATCCGAGGTATGTGGCTAAATGAAATGCCATATGCGAGATGTGTAATGTTGGTGCGTAACAACATTATTTGTATCCTGCAGTTTGAGTGCAGCGAGGCATGTCATAGCGGGATTTGTGTCCTATTCCTATAAAAGTCCTATAAAATAGTTTATTTTATTTTCTTTTCTGGGTTGCAGTGGAGAGCACTAGAGTGTGAGGGATTGTTTGTTGGGGGTGGTTTAAGATTTTCTTCCTGTGAGTGCTCTCAGTGACCTAGGTGTGGCCCTCAGTTCTGTTGTTTCTTTTCTTGTTGTAATAGTTTTTTTGTTTTTTCTTTGATAATATACTTTTCTTTGAGATTGTTATTCTTATTTGTAGGTACTTAAAAGATAACTGTATTGAATGCTTTCAGTGAACTATGATTTTTGAGTGAAAAGTATTTTTTATACAATAAAACATTGGTTTTAACTGGCAGAACCGTCTCAGTCCTCTCTGGGTAGACGGAATCTGCATGTTTGAGTGTTCATTTACATCTTGGGGTGGAAGTCCCTAAGTGGCGTAGTTGGCTACTCTTGAAAACTTAAGTCAAGGTTGTGGTTTATTTTTCCTTCACTTTCCTCTGCCTTACTGTTCTGCCACACATGGTAATGGTCATTTGTTTTTCAATGTAAGGAGTAGACCGATTTCTACAAACTGGGCCATCTGACCAATCAGAGCAGAGATCCAGACTGAATCTTCAAACAAATCATTTCACACACTTTGAGAAATGGAGTGATGTGCAATGTATATAATGAGAAAATGATAGTGTTTTTTGACTTGGATGCATGTAAACCTACAGTAGGAGACCTCAAAACTAAATGAGTGAACTTTTAAAACCGCATAATAGGGGCACTTCAGCACAATTTGTGAAACAAAGAACTACATATTCCCACAACAGCTATATGGGTCAAGTATTCAGTAAACAGCTGTGGAGGAAGGCTCATTCCGATTGAAACTTGGCAACAACTAACACATTCCTCAGTGTGCTTCATTTACTGGAGGACAGGCATGAATAAAACTCTTTGTAAAATTGTGACAGAGCATATATTGTTATTTCTAAGACAGTGTATATAAATTCCACAGATTTCTCTGGATCATTTACTGGGCCCTGTACTACAGATTGAAGTTTGAAATCATTTATATGTATTTGGTAACTTAACAAGGTAAGAACTTTAATTCACTTCTGTTATGACAAAACTACATGCAGCTGTCAAATAGTAAAAGTAGTCTTACTGGCCTTAATAAAAAAATATTCTATTTGAACAGTACATTATAAAATATAATTTTAAAATATTTTTTTCCCCTGTGTGTCTTTGTTGTATAACAGAAGCGAGGTAAAATCGGAGCTGCAGAAGATCTGAAAGGTCACAACAAGCCTGTTGATGTCAGTAAATATTTCTCGTTCTGTTTAATGAGTTTAAGTCCTGAATTAAGGACAATTTTGACTTTTTTAACATATTTTTTTACCAGGAAGAAGAGAAGATCTTTAGTTGAATCTCGTGAAGAAGTAATAAAGCCATAATAAGTCAAGGGTGATTTGTTCCTTAACTCTGTTCTTCTTTTGCATCAAAATGAATTCTGAAAGTACAAGTGAAGATGAACAACCAAAATGCATACTGATCCCATTCCTTAAAATGTCTGGAGAACAATTAGTCTGTACACCAGATCAGGAGTTTGATGGCTCTCTCTGTGAGTTAATCGACAGATATCCTTCTGAAAAAAATGCACATTATCCTGATATAAGGATAAGAAAATCTTACATAATGTCATACAACAATGAAACCAAGAATGCTAAATGGGTGTATGAGATACTGAACAATGACACTCTGAAGATCAATTGTAAGGAGAACGGCAGCTTTGGAAAGAATGAATTTGAGGGCTATGAACAGGGTCATCTTGCTGCAGCTGCCAATCACAGGTGGTGTCAGGAAGCCTATCATGACACTTTTTTGATGAGCAACATGACACCACAGCTTGAGGAAGTAAACAACAGCTTTATGAAAATAGTTGAGAATTTTTGTCGAAAAAAAGCTATAGATGAAAATGTCCGTAATGTCCACGTGTACACTGGACCACTTTACCTGAAGTTTGTGCGTGGAAAGTATGTTGTGCTTGAGCCAGAGAAAGAAGAGAAACCAGGGAAAAAAATTCCAACTCACTACTTTAAGGTGGCATTTGTGGAGGATAAGAATGGGATAGTAAATTTGCATAGCTTTGTAGTGCCCCAAATTGAAAAAGAGGAAAAGGATTTTCCTGAACCTAAGGTTGAACAATTTGTGTGTGATATTGTGAAAATTCAGAAACTCTCAGGGCTGAGATTCATGGAAAGCCGTAATGAGAACACAATGGGGAAGATAAAGTCTATTAAATGGGAGGGAGAAAATGAAAAAGGAATGCCATGTAGTGTTAAAATAAAAGTCAGAATAATCTCCCCACACAATGAGGAATGATGGTACTGATGGTGCTATGTATCTGATGTGTGCAGTAAAATACTTTATTACCCTGATGACACTGAAACAGCTGTGTTTGTTCTTCTTCAAAGGTTTGACGAAGCTTGCAGTTCTATCTGGTTAATAATCCCATACATGTACACATATAGATGCACAGCATTTAAAGAAATGCTATCTCATCCTTTCAGAAATGTTTCTCATGATCTTAAACATTTTGATCAGACAGCTTATGTTTAAACGATTTAAATTAATTTTGTAGACAAACATGTTTATATATTTATTTATTTCCATACAAAACAACATTTTGTGTATACACACTGCCCGACCAAAACAGACAAACAAACAAACAAACAAAAAGTCACTGTTTGGATTTAATGGATGATTATGTGAATGGATCATTATTACAGTGATTATGATGTTTCTAGCATGTTATATGTTTGGCAACATTTTTTTTAACCCTAACTGATGGAGTGTTTAGCTTTTCATTTCTTAAACAACCTTGTAAGATGATGTATCATGGCCATATTTCAGGATGACAAAGCCAAGATTCATCAGGCTCAAACTGTGAAAGAATAGTTGAAATAACATCACAACATCTACAATATCTCAAACTTTTGACTTGATTTTTTCTTTATTCTAGAAAGCTTAAATATAACATTTTGAATTTTTTTATTTTTTATTTTGTTTTTTATTACGATGTAAAGCTCATTCTTCACATTTTTTTTTCTAATGACTTCTGTTATTCTGAAATTCTATTTTATTTTGAAGGCATGGATGTTTCCAAATGTGTATCTGAGTGAACTGTGTGAATTAACAGCATTTATTGAGTCTGTTTGTTTTTTTTTAATAAGCAGTTAGATATTTGCTCATTTTTATATCATGTTTAGTTCTCTACATATGTTTGTGCTGATTCTGTATAGTAATTGTTTTGGAAGTAGCAGGCTGAAACTGAGTCTGTGAATGTCAACAGATGTCCTGTGTACTGGAAAAAGATCAGCTCAAATAAAAAGCTGTTTACCTTCATCGCTGTCTCCTAACTATTTCCCAGATAACCTCCAGCATCAGAACTGCAGCATCCAGTTTAATGGTTTTTAGTGTCAGACTGAAGGTACCTTTAGATCAGTGGCTCTCAATTAGGGGGACCATGTGTGTGTCATGCTGTGGTAGAAGGCAACAAGCAGCAGAAGATCTAGCAGTAGTAATCTGTTTATTAGTCACAACAAGGCTCAGGAACACAAAAAACATGAAAAACCACCAACACCAGACAATAAACTGAGGGTATAATCATAATTTCATAGAAACAATAACTGTGATTTTCAGGTTGTTTTATTTTAAATTGTGGTCAAAACTCTCTATATTTTATATATTTAAAAAATTATATTAAATCTCTCTATATACACTAAACAAACTTATAAACGCAACACTTTTGTTTTTGCCCCAACTTTTCATTTTTACTTGTAATATTTTATCAACAACATTTATTGTCTGCTGATTGTATTTGAATCAGGAAAAAGTAATTTTATAATTTCAGTTTTAATATGTAAATGCTATGAATAATTTTTTGTTATTATTATTGTTTTTTTTGGGGGGGGTTGTCTACATTAGCAGCCCTTCTTCTTCTAGCGGTGGGCGGATCGATACTAATATAGATAGTATCGATACCAGCGTTGGCAGAGGCGGACAAAGTACACAGCTTCATTACTTGAGTGAAAGTACAAATGATCAGTGAGAGCAGGACGAATGTGTCACACAACTCAAGAAAATGGTAAAATACATATATCAAGAGCATGCTCACAGATGAGAACAAAACAGCGTTGGGTGAAGTGGATTAGGAGAGCCCTGCACGGGTCTTAAATAGGCCGTCTTTTCCCCCTTTTCCCAAAAAAAGCTTATACTTCTGTTTCAGCTATTAAAATAGTTCCCTTTTCATGGGAACTTCGAACTGCGTCCTCCAGGGGTCGCTATGGGGAACGCCTCATCGTGACCCGTGTCTGAAGCATACATTGAAAAAACACCAACAACACGTTGGCCGGCGACAGCCATGACGTCACTACCGGTGCGACTATAGTATAAATAGGCGCTGGAAGACCACATCATCCTCTTCTTCGTCTTCACTGCACGCTTCAAACAAAACAGTCATTTCCGTGGTAAGCTGGCCGATGAGTTTAAAGAGGGACTTTCCCTCTCACGCTCGTCGGCTGTGGACGAGAATGAGCTGCTGGAGGATGATGTTATTTCTTTAACATCTTCTTATCCAGGGGCCAGTGCTCTGCTGGGTTCAGCCCAGGAAGTGCAGGAAATGTCTGAGGAGGGCGAAGAAGCTGAGGGCATACGCAGCAGCAGGTCAGGCTGTCGCTTCTTTGCACACGATGGCGGTGCTCCAGGCATATCAAGCTGACCTGCTGAAAGACCTGGATAAAGGTGAGGGCCTTTCTCCTGATGAGGTAGCTGAGTTGCGCCGCACCACGGATCTCGCTCTCCGTGCTACTAAGCAGGCCGCCTCTGCTATGGGCAGATCTATGATGGCTATGGTAGTAACGGAGAGGCATCTGTGGGTGAACCTGGCAGACATCGGGAGGAAAGAAAGGTGCTTTCTTCTCGATGCCCCGGTTTCGCCCTCTGAACTTTTTGGTACCTCCGTTGAGACGGTGGTCGAGAAGTTCAGGGAGGCGAAGGCGCGCTCAGCGGCCATCTTCTTATCCAGGGGCCAGTGCTCTGCTGGGTTCAGCCCAGGAAGTGCAGGAAATGTCTGAGGAGGGCGAAGAAGCTGAGGCTAAGCCTTCCCTATCCTCCTGCCCTGCGTATGATGAGCTCTTGGAAGTTATGGATCGCGTCACGGAAGCGGACTAAGGAAGTGACGTCGTGAGGTCATCTCGATGAACGTTATCTTTCTGGCCATA